CCTGGCAGCGTGGACAATGCTCATGCACTGCATGAACAATGCAAACTTGTTGCAGTTTTCTAAATTGGTGTGCCTAACAGCTTGCTTCCAATACCATCAGAAGGGACAATCCTGCTTGAGTATTCTACTTCAGACAAAAGTCTGCTATAGACTATGTCATGACACATTTTATTTCATTTGCAAGAAACATGGCAATCTGTAGTTTCTGTCTTAAACATTGTTAACTATAGGATTCCATGTGAAATATAATCTTTTCTTTCTCCCTTCCTCCCTCCCTTCCTTCCTTCCTTCCATCTTTCCTTCCTTCCTCCTCAAAGATTTATTTATTTATTTGAAAGAGAGAGCAGAGGGAGGGGCAGAGGAAGAGAATTCTCAAGCTGACTCCCTGCTGAGCATGGAGCCAGACATGGGGCTCAATCCCAGGGCGCTGAGATCATGACCTGAGCGGAAACCAAGTCGGACACTCAACCAACTGAGACACCTAGACACTGTTTTTTTGTTTTTGTTTTATTTTGTTTTTTTGTTTGTTGTTGTTGTTGTTTGGAGTTAGGGGTGAGGAGGTTCCTTGCCTGGAAAGACATGCATTTTGCACATGCTGCTTGAATTCCTAATTCTCACTGGAAACTGTAATGGAAAAGCTCAACACAGCATGACAACAGAATAGTGCTTAACAGTTACCAGTGTCAATATTAAACCTAAAAGAATTGAACTGTATGATATCTTACTTTTTTTTTCTTTTTATTTTTCACTGCGTAGGGGGAACATCATCAAGACAAAAAGGCTTTCTAGGATGCATACGCTCCTTACACTTGAATGGGCAGAAATTGGACCTGGAAGAGAGGGCAAAGGTCACATCTGGAGTCCGGCCTGGATGCCCAGGTCATTGCAGCACTTATGGTAGCATCTGCCACAATGGGGGCAAGTGTGTGGAGAAGTACAGTGGGTACTTCTGTGATTGCACCAATTCACCATATGAAGGACCCTTTTGCAAAAAAGGTACAGTAGACGCCTCTGTTTTACCCCCATGCTGTATTGCAATACCTATAAGCCATGATCAAGTCATGCCCTTAGACACTCCTTAAGTGATCTCTTACCTTCTTCAATTTTGCTCTGTGTAAAGACTCTGTGTAGCCCCTCAGCATAATTGCATATAGCCATTTTCACTGTGTGTGGACACTGGCAGTGCAACTGAACAGGATGGATAGTAACAGTGCAACACACTCTCCTTGGCTGGGGCCAGCTGAACCCTGAGAGAGGTGGACTTTCATCTCTGTCATATCAGCCCGATATCGAGGGACGCACTAATCTTTCCAGTCCCAATTCCTTAGCCCATGCATTGGGCTAAGGTCCAATCTATAATGGCAGCATTATAGATTCTACCCCTGGAAGAGTCTTAGGGATGCTTGAGTCATTTTAAAGTATTTTTACAACAGGGAACTTATAGGTAAGTCAGGAGAAACAATACCATGCATCTAGTAAAATCTCCCTATTATGCAGGTGATGTGAGTGGAGTCTGAAGCTTTAAAAGCCCTGCCTGGAGATTCACATTTGGTTCATCAAGGGGCTGGGAATGGAACACAGGGATCAAAATCCCTGCCCCAGAGTCTTTCTCTATCCTCTCCTGTCTTATGAATTCATTGCATTGATAAAACTAACCATGATGGATGTGTACCTTGAACAAGGAGTGATGGTCATGGTGTAAATTCTCTAGAAAAATTCAAGATAACTCTACAAACTATAAAATTGCATTATTCAATATAAAAACTTAGTATTTTTTCAAATACAAGGGCAAAAGATTAGGTCTCCTATCTATCTTTGCAGGATTTTAAAGTTTATTTTATTGATGGGAAAAAAATGTTTGTTGAGCAAATAATGTAAACAATATTTCAGGAGCAGGATTTAAACTATTAAAATAAAATGTTTTAATTACTTTGAAATACCATGTACGTTTAAACAATGATGGCAATTATACATAATTCTTGTCAATTCATTAAAACGCATTTCCCAAACACCTCTACCAAACAATGCTTTATTTAGTCCAATTTACTGTTGGAACTTAAAAACAATAGACAAAAGAAGAACACCCAGTGTTCTCATTGAAGGACTCTGTAATTTGAGCTCTTCATAATTTACACTGGCCTTCTCCACAGTTAGATTGAATTACTTGCTTATTATTGTTGAGAATCATTATACTCCTTGGGAGAAAATGAATGGTACAAATTTTAGGGCCAACAGTGTGTTGGGCCCTGCATGGAGTTTGACATAAAGTGGCCCCATCCCCGTAGGTGTTGACCATGGGCTAAGACAAGCCAAATGCCACTGGATTTTCACATTGGGGCAGGAATCTGAATAACTGCCCCTAAAAAAATTAAATGCCACCCTTAGTCTGGGCCCACACGACCAGAAGAAGCAAATACAGAATCAACACCATCAGGCCTTCTCACAAAGGTAAACTAGCATTGTTCTATAGGATCTATACCCAAGTCCTGTGTTTGGGAAAAAAAAAAAAAAGAAGAAGAAGAAGAAGAACAGTGTGATTCTACATTTCTCCAGGGACATTGCTTAAACATCTCATAGATCATATTGTTCTAAATTTAGCTTAATTTTTAATTGGCTTTTGTGTTTTTTTTTCTGAAACAACTCTGATTAATTATCTTCTGTCCATATCATCATATCTTTTGGCAGCATAGGTTGAAATAGCCTCTGTGCTCTCTCCCCACTTTTTACTTCACTCTATAAGCAAAATAGACAAATATGTGCTTAGCCTTTTCAGCTTGCTTCATATTTCACAGTTCCAAACTTTCTCCTCTTTCTCATAAATCTAAGGAAATGATTCCCTTTATATGCAGTAGCTGCAAAGTATGTAGGATGAATCTTTTAACCAAGTCTTCTAGCCATGCCAGTTGCCTGGGGAACTGGAATGGAAATAAGAGCCACTAGCTAGGAGATGATCCTAAACAAGGGTGCTTTCAATTGGGGTAGTCTTCCATGTTAACTTCCCAGGGCATATGTATTTTAGGGGGTGTAATACTAGAAATATATGGGGTAGAATTACCAATGCCTGGGCCAGAACTATGATCCATTGACCTACTCTCTGCTTCTGATTGTAGTACAGAGTAATAATAATTGTGCAATTAAATAGTAATTATTGACCACAACATACATTTCTCATGGCCAACCTAGTGGGGAAGATATTAACATATTGAGAACATTGAAGTTCACAGAGGTTAAATGACTTGCTAATAAAGGTCAGGGCTGGAGACCCATCCAGCATCTTTTTGGTTTCTTTTTTCTCTTTAACATCCTAATTTCATTCAGTATAGGAATATAGTAATAGGATTCAGACACGTTTGTTTGTTTGTTTGTTTGTTTGTTTGTTTTTAATGTTTTGCATGTGTCTCTTTTTCTTCCCTAAAATCCACTCTTTTAAATTATATAATGCCATGAATTTTAGCAATTCACAAAAGTTGCACAACCATCACTATTATCTAATTTCAGAATATTTTCATCACCCTAAAAGGGAATCTTACACATATTAGTAGCTACCCCTCCTTCACCTCTCCCTCCTGTGCCTGGAAAAAACTGATTTACTTTCTGTCACTATGGATTTACCTATTCTGGATATTTCATATAAATGGAATCATACTCTATGTGGCCTTTTAATGTCTAGTTTCTTTCACTTATCATAATGTTTCAAAGGTTCATCCATGTTGTAGCACTTAACATTTCAGTATTTTGTTCCTTTTTTTATTTCCAAAGAGTATCTTATTCCATTATGTGGATGCAGCACATTTTGTTTATATATTCATCAGTTGATGGACATTGGGATGTTTCCATTTCTTTGGCTATTATAAATAATGCTGCTATTGACATTCAGGTACATATTGTGTGGATTTAACTTTTTCTGTTCTCCTGGGTATATACCTAGAAGTGGGATTATTTGGGTCATATGGTAACTATATTTAACTTTTTGAGGATACTGGCAAACTGTTTTCAAAGTGGCTGCTCCATTTTACATTCTTACCAGCAAAGTGTAAGGATTCCAATTTCTCCACATCCTCACCAACACTTGTTATTATCCATCCTTTTGATAAAAGACATCTTATTGTGACTGTGTGAAATAGTATCTCATTGTGGTTTTGACTTGCATTTCACTAATGACTAATAACATTGGACATCTTTTCATGTTCTTATTGACTGTATACCTTCTTAGGCGAAATGTTTAAAGTGTTTGCCCATTTTTTGATTGGGTTATTTTTTCTTTTTATTGTATAGTTGTCGGAAATCTTTGCATATTTTGAATTCAATTCTCACATTAGATATATGCTTTGCAAGTATTTTCTCCCCTTTTCATTTTCTTGATAGTATCTTGTGAAGCACAAAAGTTTTAATTCTTATAACATCTGGTTCTTATTGTTTTCTTTTTGTTGCTTGTACTTTTGGTATTATATCTAACAAATCTGCCTCACTGAAGGTCACAAAGACTTATGTCCATGGTTTCTTCTAAGAGTTTTATAGTTTTGCTTTTACATTTAGTCTCTGATCCAGTTTGAGTTCATTTTGTAGATGGTGTGACATAGGGGTTCAGCATATTTAAGTATGCCTTACCAGTTGCCAAAAACCTGTTGAAAAGTTCTTTGATATTTACCTTCCTGCCAATGTGTAGCACTTATTTTTTAACTTTTCTTTACAAAAAGACCCAATTCTTGGTGATAGTAGGGAGAAGAGTTTCAGAACCCTCATGCACCCATTATCTAGCTTCAACAATGATCAACTTATGACCATTTTTATTTCATCTATATACTCACATCTTGTCCTTTATTATTTTGAAGCAAGCTTCAAATATCACATCATTTCATCTATAAATATTACAATATGTATTGCTAAGAAATAAGAGCTTATTAAAAACACAGATCCATAAGACCATCATCATCAGAAAAATGAGTAATGTCTAATATTATGAAATATCCACTCAGCATTCAAATTGCCAATTGTTTCATTTATTTTTAGTTTGATGTTCTGCTAAATTAATTACACCTTGGCTGATTTCTAGGTAATCACTAGCCTACTCATTATCTTCGCTTATTCTAATTCTAAATTCTATCACTATTATTTAGACCAGCTATTGTCCATTGAGTTCCTACTATGTGTTGTGCTTCTACATAATGTCTTCCAGTCCTTCTACCTACTGCAAGATTGAATCCATCCCTACTTGTACATGAACTGAGGTTGAGTGGGATCCTGTGAGAGTGTTAGAGAAGGGGCAGAGCCAAGTGTCAGTTCCCATCTGTCAGACTCCACAGCTGGCTCAGAGACACACTCTCTTCAGTGCCACATTATTTCCTAGCTGTTTCTTTTAGTTCATTCCACACTTTGTTCCTGGTCAGTGTGGAGTTCCTCTTTAAGGTCTGGTCAAGCTATTGTAGCCACAGAGACCTCCAGCTCTAGGAATCATTGTTTCTGTCACACACATCACACTCCAGACTACCTTCCATTGTGTTTTGTTTTGTTTTGTTTGATACGTGTCCTTTCTTTTCAGAACATAATCAGCATAATTCTTTCCACCAAGTAGGTGCTCAATAGATAATGCTAATATTTCTTCTGTGGCCTTGGAGTAGCATGATGGTCATAGATGATCACATCCAAATTAAGATTTTTCTTCTAATGGGCCCAGCGGTTTTGTGTATTCAGACAAATCACTCAGAGAGCTTAAATATGTTCAGGGAGCTTAAACTCTTTGATTATAAAATGTAAGAAACTTAGAGAATAATAGAATCCAGGTGTTTTGCTGAAGGAAGCTTTATGTTAAAATTGACGGTATCGAAATATTAAACATTAAAATACTTAAACATTAAGAATAATTAGAACTGGGGCTAAGGGAGAAAGGAAGACAGAAATTTGGTAGGTTATTTCTAGTTTAAAAGTGCTTTGTATTTTAATTTCCTGTCCTAAGTATTAAGAAAAAATTGTGATATATATGCCCATATCTAATATGCTATTCATAACAGAATGCTCTGAACTACAGTTACATTTGAACACACTCACAACATCAAATAAAAGCCATTATTCTGTTAACTAGGAGATAGTAGCTCAAAATGCAGGCCAAATGTCCCTGAGGAAATTCACTCTAGGAAAGTGCTTGAATCAAGCTGATGATTAACCAGAATCCTCACTGTCACAAGTCTCTGCCGCATATCTTTGTAATCAGGAATACTAATGTAACCCGAATGATAAATGCAGAACACATTCTCTGAACCTTTAGTCAAAATGAACTGGTATTCCCAATCTGCTAAGCAATATGCATAAATATGCAACTTTAATTTTTTGGCATTCTTACAGGCTGTTACAGAATTTTCACAAAGGTAAAACAAATTTGCAATAGAATTAGGAAGGGAAAGCCAGGTTTGATTATGTTCTGGGTGCCACCAACTCAACCAGGGGATTTCATGGGGAATTAGGAAAATTCTACATCATTCCAGAAAAAGAAAAATCAATCATGCCAATATGGGTTCATGTTTATTGTGCTATCTTTATAGTAGGGGGTTGCTGTCAGATCCAAGCTATGTTGTACTATGAAGGAAACTTTCCTCCATGCCCTGATACTATATTACTGTATAGAGATAAAATTCAAGGAGAACTTAGAGCAGCCTGGATTGAAAGAAAAGAATATCTCAGCATTTGGATGGATATTCAGTCAATAAACAGATAGAGTCTGTGAAGGAAACTGTGATGCGTTCAGATTAAAGTCTCTTCTAATATGAAGAGCCTACAAGATCCAACTATAGTGTCTATCTCTTATAAGTGTTCTACACACAATATTTCACTTAGCCACCCAGAAATACTGTGGAGGTGTTATGTTTCCCATTTACCAGATGACAAAACAGTCTCCACAGGGGTTCACTAACTTACCTGGGACCACACAGCTAGTATGGTATTGAATGAGGCTTCAGATCCAGAACAGAAGCCAAATCCTGTGCTCGTTCCACCAAACTAAAAGGATAACAGTTGGAGCGAGCACATGATACAGGGAAGATGGGTGATTTGTACATTCCTGTTAATTGAATGTCATTGGTTTGTAGATGCTGCCTTTTTCCATGGTGGTGGCAGAACTCCATCCAATGTGTCATGCTATAGGAATTGTATCCCATAGGAAGGCCTATTTGTTCAAGTCTTTGCTGTCTTTGGAATTGAATACCAATTCCTAGGCACCCAAAAGAAAATGGAGTCTGGAGGTTAGATACCTATGCCTTTTCTACTAGTTCCATAGCTTCTCTCTTTTGTTTCCACAGATCCTAATATTTTACCCAACACCATGAGAATTACCACTGCTTCTCCCAGTGTCCTATTCTCAGTAATTTAGGACCCACTCATAATCCTCCTAACACACCAGAAAAACACAAGCTGGAACCGCTAGAATCTCAGTTTTGAAACTAAGAAGGTCCCAGTAAAGTTTATCTCTACTATGCTGGAGGCAGGGACAGTTTATCTTTGCTTCTTGAGAAATCAGCCTGGCACATGGTAGTTATACGGCAAATGTATGTTAAACTGAACAAAACTTCAGGATGCAAATCTCAGCTCTCTGTTTTTAGCTATGCAACCTTGTTCAAGGTGCTTAACCCCTGCAAGCCTCATATTTCTCATTTGTAAATAAGAGTAACGACTTCTGCCACTTCAAACTTATTGTGGGAAACATATTATATAATACAGGCAAAAACCTTCATGCTGTGCTTGATGCATAGCAAACAATAAACAGTTACTGCTGTCCTGAATAATCAACTAAATGTTGCAATGTGTGCATTCCCCTCTTTTATTTTTCAGAGGTTTCTGCTGTTTTTGAGGCTGGCACTTCAGTTACTTATATGTTTCAAGAACCCTACCCAGTGACCAAAAATATAAGCCTCTCATCCTCAGCAATTTACGCAGATGCAGCTCCATCCAAGGAAAATATTGCATTTAGCTTTGTGACAGCCCAGGCGCCCAGCCTCTTGCTCTACATCAATTCTTCTTCTCAGGATTACCTGGCTGTCCTGCTCTGCAAGAATGGTGAGTACTGACAGCATGAAGTCTGATGGAGTGTCACAGTAGGCTAGAGGGACAGTGCGTGCCCTCCAGAACACTGCATAGTTTCAACCTAAATTTGGTCCCACCTGGGCAGCTTAATCCTGGACCTCCAGCCAAAGCCTCGATTTTACTTTAGCTTTATGACTTGCAATTGGTATTCAGGGCCAGAGTCAATTCATTGCTGAAGTCTTAAATGCATTGCCTTTAATTTGCCTCAACTGTGTAGCAGTAATTCTTTATTATTTATTCCATGCTGGAATCCATTAAGTGTAAAAGAGACGATCATAAGCATATGTGAATTTCAGAAGGACACTCATCACATATATCGTGTCATCTTTGCTGCAGTCTCCTTTACTGAGGGCTATTAAAACAAGTAGCAAAAATGTAGGCTGTATTAATAAGAGTTAATTGCCTAGGTCTTGGAGAGAAGTGGTGTATGTGAGTCATACCCCTGTGCAATATGGGGCATGGTGCTGAGAATCAGACTTTGAAGAGAATGTGCACAAAATGGAACATACGAAGGTTAAAGGGGTACAGGAACTGGGTCCACTTCATGCAAGGGCTGTTGAAGGACACCAGTTCTGACAGCTGTTAGGAGAAATCAGGTTTTCTTCCCTCACTGTGTAATTCTACCTCACAATGAGGAGGACTGTTGGTCAAGGGCACTGTGAGATCAAAATCTTAAGGGATGGAACAACTATTAGAACAGACAAAGAGGGCAAAGATGTGGACATCCCTGTAGTCGGGTCTCAAAGAACAGGTTCCCTTGATCAAGAGTGTGTTCTTCCTCCTCTTGTAATTTGCCCTGGTACAATGAGAGGAGTCTGGGCTTTAGAACCATCCCCCAGGATGGACTGTGTTGGGGCAGAGAAGAAAGGAGGCTTGGAATATACAGCATACACTCTGCCTTCTCTAGACCTTAGGGCAGAGACTCCACAGAGACTCCAGGTATTTCTCTTGCTGTACTTTTTTTGGGGGGTGGTGGGTAGGGGATGGGTGTTATTCTTCTTTGCTTCACCTTGCCCTCTGACTATGAAACTGAAAATAAAGAATGTTGTGTGGGCCTAACGTAAGGATCAAACCTGGTGGGCATGTGAGTTGAATCAGGCCTGAAGTACATTAATAATAAGTGTCCCACAGACAATAACAGGACTCATTCATTCTAAGAGCAAATGCAAGGGAAGGAAAAAAGAGAGAGGGTTCCTGGGGTAGTGACTAACCACTCCAAGACTATCTGATCTTGATGAGCCTACAAAGAGAAAAGAACCACTATGGGTTATTAGACTTCTTATTTATCAGCAGACTTTTGTATGATTAGAACCATTATATTAACTTGTCATATCTTAAACTTTGCCCCCATAATGTCTCTGTGAGTTGGATAAGTCTGGCTGAGGACACTGAAGCATAGATTAACTGATTAACATAGGTCAGCCAGATAATTCATGACACGGTTGGGACCAAAGCCAGATCTCCTGATAATCAGCTTCACCATCTTTTCTCTAAGCTAGACCATTCTGCTATGATGTGGCTGGACTATAGTAAGATAGTTACAGAGCCCTGAGATGCAAGATTTTCCCCAAAGCATCTTTTAGGTGTGATTCAATGGCACATTTTTACCAGCCAGGCTGTATCTATGGATACAGACAATGGCATAACAGGAATAACTATACTCAATTTCATATACATACTACTCCATATACTCTCTCTCTCTCTCTCTCTACACACACACACACACACACACACACACACATTCTGGGCACTATTCTAATTAATGTGCACAGCCCTTAATTCTTACAACAATCCTGTGTGGTTTGTGGTATTAATCTCATAGCTCCAGAAACTAAGGCATACAGACACTAAATAACTTGCTTAAAATTTCACAAGCAAGTAAGTAAAAGAGTTAGAATTCAATCCTCCCTCCCTGACTCTGGTAGCATATTTTGTGTTCTTAACCATAGCTCTAAATGAAGAGTGTTATTTATTTTTTGAAACACAGGGTGTTTTAAATAACTTGAATTTATTTAATTGTGAAGGCATTCTTGAATTTTTCCTGATCTCCTATTTTCTTATACTCTAAAGCCTCACTTCCCTGAAAGTTCTACTTGACACCATAGTCATTTGCATTTTTTAAGCCCTGGCTAAGTGCAGGAAGCAAGGAGATACTTGTGTTTTGTTTGTTTGCTTGTTTGTTTTAAGCTTAGGTCTCAGGACCAGTATGAAAAATCAGACTTCACATCTGAGTCTATAACTCACAGGAGATGGGTGTCCAGGCAGTGTCTAGTCATGTAATGCCCCTTTCCTCACTCTGCCTCAGAGAACCACTTCCCCCATTGCTCTAAGGAACTCTTGTCACACTGGACGGTGGTAGATGCCTTTCTGACTTAGGATCTTGGGCATTTCCTGCCATCTTATCCTACAGAGATGCAGTGGAGATACACACTCATTGATTCATTCTTTCAATGACTCCCACCTGCACAGTATCAGGAACTATGGAGAGCAAAAAAAAAAATAAACAGGATGCTGTGCTGTCTAAACATGATAAGGAAAAAGAGACTCAAAAATGGCCTTAGAGGGGCGCCTGGGTGGCTCAGTCGTTAAGCTTCTGCCTTTGGGCTCAGGTCATGGTCCCAGGGTCCTGGGAGGGAGGCCTGCTTCTCCCCCTCCCACTCCCACTGTTTGTATTCTCTCTCTTGCTGTGTCTCTCTCTGTCAAATAAATAAATAAAATCTTAAAAAAAAAACTGCCTTACAGTTTTTGATGGGCAATCTAGATACATGAGGGAATCAGGTTGTACAGATTTCTCAAGCAATCTTACCAGAAGTTAGATTTTGTCTAACTTTGAGGATTAATCTCCTAAGAATTCAGGGGTTATAACAATAGGGCAAATGCTTTGAGCAAGAGTGCATTCCTTGTCATCAGAGGCCTTCAAACAGTTATTAAATAACAGTTTGTTGGAAAAAGTATAATAAGAATACTAGCGGTGGATAAGGGAGAAAAATAACCTCTGAGTTTCTTTCCAAGTCTGAGATTTTGTGATTCTCTATTCTTGTGTAGTCTTACATTTTTATTTCTTTCTGCTAGGAATGCATTTGCAGCCTTTGAAATGCTTCTTCAAGGAATTAAGAATTGGTATTGGTACAGCTTGTTCCCAGTATGCTCATGGTATTAAGCCACTGACCTAATTGCCAGTGAATAATATGGGGACCTTGATTCATGAGGCACTAAGAATATTTTTAATAAGACTTTGATAGACTTCAGGGAGAAATATTCCTCTGAAAATACTAATGGAAGTTAAAAATACCAACAGCTTGGAAAAAAAAAAGTAGTAAGCATGGTAAAGGGTTAACTAGGGAAAGTCTTTCTCTGGAAGGATTTTCTAAGATTGATTCACACCTCTCTGAGATGAAGTTAAAAGTTTTCTGTTAGTACAGATTTCTTAACCTTTCTTTGATATAAGGCACCTCTGGGAATCTGGTGGAAATTATGATGAGAAGATCACTCTTAAAAGGAGTCCTTTTTGTTCTCCCCAGGAGGAAGAAAATGCCCATGGCCATATCATACAAAATGGCTCCAATTTCAGCACTGTGGGTTAAGAAGCCAAGGGGTGGAGACAAGTGGATGAACTGCATAAATACTGAACAAAATCCTTGGCTTGCAAATCTATTTAATATCGGTATACAGGCCAGAGGAGAGAAGAGCAGTGGGACTCAAAGTCATTCTTCCAAGTCTCTCCCTGTCAGGGGTTTGGTTTGGCATGCTTGGAATTCCTCTTTGCCCTTTTCCATTTTTCTTGAAATTTCTCCAACTAGAGACTTATTCAGGTTAAGTCGTTGCTGTCTTTTCAAATGAAAAACAGATCTTTTTTCCTAAAGGAAGAAAAGGGTTTCCATTTCTGGGATGGAAGATTAGAGAATGAAAAGGAGGCATTTGAGGTTAGAGAGTCCTTAGGAGAGTGAAGGTGGTTGTGGTCCCATAGGCTGGAGCATTGGACAGCAGGCAACTTCTCAGGGATATGGCAATTGGAGGAGAAGGGGTATATGAAGGAGGAAAGTATCCAGAGAAGGCAATGAGAATATTCTAAAGGCAATGAGAGTATTCTTAAATTTCACATTTTATTGAGTGATGGCTCTGCCTTCTGCATGGTACTGTGGAGTTCTTCAAACTTGTCATTTAACAAATATCTGCAGAGTATCTACCATGTGGCAGGCACTATTTCATGCATGGGAGAGACAGATTCAGACAGCATCCTGTTCTGCTTTTAAGGATCTAGTCTGGGCACAGAGACACAACAAAGAAGGACAACAATGTGTCAGAGACGTGGGATAGAGTCTGTTCCAGGTAGATTGAGGCAAAGAAGGAAAAGAGTAACTGATTCTTTCTGGGAGGGAGGGTCACAAAAGACTTCCTGGAGATAGTAAAACTTGAGTTGGTCCATGAAAGATAAATCAGTGTTTTCCAGGCAGACATTAGATTTTTGTTTAATCAAATGAGAGGTTTCTTTGATTGTTCCTCATTTTCTCCACTTTATTTCCATTACATGTGAAATATACATGTTTTTCCAAATCAGTTCCCCTTTCTACTCTTTTATCATGTGTCCTTCTTGGCTCCTTGGTAGTAAAAACAAACAAACAAAAAAATCAAATTTAGAATATGTGCTAAATCTAAGGCCATCAATCTATGGTGAAATCATTTGGATACAAAATCCAAACAAGGCCCCTGGGTCACCTTCCTATGGTGGCTTTTCAGCTGCCCTCCAGCAATGAATGGTTTGTCTGACTTTGCATCAGCATTTCCTTTTTACCGATCTTTTTTTTTTTTTTTAACATATACATTCATAAGGATGCACTGTCTGCATTTGTGATTGCGTACACCTTGGAGGGAATAATGATGAACCCAGACACTTTACATTTTGAACAGACTGACTCAAGGGAGACAGGGATAAGGAGGAATCCATAGAGGGAATGTCTTCAAAGTAAAAACTT